GAAGCTGAATTCAGCTCCTTTGTCTCTAAGTCTGTGCGCAGACTTAGAATCAAAACATAATAGGAACGAAAACTTAGCTCATAGATTATTTCGATGAGACTCTCGTTGTCTGCTTAATTGTTCTCACTGACCCTCAAGTGCCATGAATCCATTTATGCAAATTATGCTTAGGAACATAAAAACTCCTGCCACTAAATGAGCACTTGATGCAGAAATAAGTGATGCTTGATGTTGAAATCTACTCGCTTACAATTGCTACTAATCTGGAGCATTTTAACATGAGCTTTACAAGGTCAAAGATTAAATACTTGTTTGTACATTTTGCCGCAGAGTTTTGAATGTAGGTATGCATCCGGTTTAGTCATCTGCATTGTCATGTATAGTAGTCATCAGATGAAATTGTACTAGTGAGTCATAAATGCTCACTCACGTTCCAATATTATCTGGAAACCAAGCAAGAAGACAAAGAGGATCGAGCATTTTGAAAGAGGCTAACAGATTCCATCAACTTTTCCAATACAAGAGTGGTAGCTGTAATTGATAAGTTTGTAATATTTACAATTTGAAGCAAACTTGGCGTTGGAGTTCTTGCCTGATTTTATGGTTTTAACTGAGGTGGCATTGTCCTATGTGTCATCCCTATTATCTTCTGGTTGGTTGTTGAGTACGAACAAAAAGAATCACATCGAATCGATGTTTGCATGTCCATTTAGTTGTCATCTGTGTGCAACTAGAAATATCTTTGAAAACAAAGATGACTTATGAGAGACAAGATTCATCTTAATAATGTGAAGATTTTGTTTGTAAGTTATGATAGATGGATCCATGTTTTCAAAGACTAGCAAAGATGATGACGTTTGTGGGCAAGAGTCTTTTGTTTGGAAGATGACTTCTTTACTAATTACAACTTGTGCGGCCAGCTAGATATGTTTATCCGCTTTTGTTGTGACATATATATTATAACTGCTTCATGTCGCAAGTGTTTTGCGCATCCTGATTTTGTTCAGCCATACCACTTTCGCTGGCTAGGTAGGTCACATAATGTTGACAAAAGTAATATCACCTTGTTATTGTACTGTTTATTGAACATGGTACATGACGTGAATTCAGCGTGCTTTAACTAAGTATTACTCGGAATTATGACCTGACTGAATCTGATTACTTTTACTTCCAGTCGTTCAAGTAGTAGTGAGTACATGTCTAAAATTGCCAGTAGTACCTTAATGAGAAGATAGAATATTGACTTTTGAGCGAGAAGCTAACAAAAGTGTAGTGGGTAAAGGAAATTTTATAACCAAAGTATATAATCATAAGTATCCTTGGTTCGTGCACAAGTTTAGACTGAAAGGAAGAGTTTCTAAGACTGAAAGTCTCCAACATCACGTTCTTCATTCAAAGTATGAGGTCGTGTGCATTATGTTTGATTTTAGCCTGGCCACATGAATCACACAGATGAGATTGGTATTGTTTGTTTTGGATTAAGTTATGCATTTATACATAGCGCACATAACTAATGATATGTTGTGTGTTGTTATCAAGCAGTTTCCTTTTTTACATTGATTGCATTTGATAGCCATCAAATGATATTACCCGTTGCTTGGAGTATTCAACAAAAAGAAACAACACAGATGATAGTGGACTTTTTGTAAAAAATCAAAGCTGCAGTATTAGAATTTAAGCCTGACTGGAAACCAAGTTGCTTTATAATTGATTGTGCTCCTCAAGAGGTGGCTGCATTGAAAGCTTTATTTCCAAGAGTTCTGGTGATTTTCTATTAATTCCATATTCGAATGTACTTTTGATATTTTGTCCATCTATAGTAGTGATTTATGTATAAAAAAATGCCAATATAATTATTATATATCAATGATTGTTATACTTAGAGTATTCTATAGATATTTTTTATTTTCATTCACGTATTAAAATCTCTGAGCAGGTTGGAACTATTTGCAGCGCATGGAAGGAAAATCTGATTCAAAAAGTGAAAAACTGAACGCTTATATTGAAAATGTCTGATGCTGTAGGAGAAATGTATGCTGACTGTGAACTTTTGTTGTGAAGACGTTGGATGCAATTCCAAACCAGATTTTGTTCAGAAACTTAGTTTCTGAATTATTCAAACAAGATTGGATCGGAAGAATAGGTATCGTATTTCTATGGTACTATTAGGATATATTATATATATTATATCCGTTTTGCCCCTTGGATATATTAGGATATTTTTGCTGATTTTAGTGTCAACTAAATCGACTATTTGCTAATTGTGGTGAGGTGAACATTTTTTTTTTTGACTCAATAGCTTTAACTCATAGTTCACGTGGCTTTCAAAAGCAGTGTACATTTTTGAGTTTGCGACTCTTACACAAATATTATTTCCCAACAGGAATCTTTTCATCGAGTTGGAAATGAACAGAGTAAGCAGATCATTCATAGGAAAACATTGCCCTCATTCATAGGGGCTTTAGAGCAGTGTATTATGGTTACTGCGTGCAGGTCTGAACTTCAAACACACTTGATCTGGAGCAGATGATAGAAGGCAAAGAAAACAGAACGTTGGTATTTTTCCAGCATGATATTGCGAGAGTAAGCATTAACTGTCTTCACTTTGGAGGTTCATGAAGTATTGTAAAGCCTACAAATGGAATTTCATCTGCTTAGTTATTGACAAAAATGTGACTCAAGGCAACTGTGGGTTTACACATCTTATAGAGTTGGTTTTGGCTCCATAGTTTCTAGCACTAGATAGATTTGATATAGCTCCAGAATATCTCCAGGATTTTAGAATCTTCTCTTGCTCTTGAAACCTAGGGCATTTCCAGGAAAGGTTGCAGTTGTCCCAAGAAATGTAACGACCTTCATTATACGACCAGATTTCTATTTTTTATTCTCACGCTTCAACGTCCCTTTTTCATTCCCACGTTAATCCAGTGTTGGTTTCTGTCGAAGGTGTTAGTCATTGGCTGTGAGTCTAGACTTTTGGTACAGTCTCTACGAGACTCGGCAAGATCGTTCTCAGAACTTTTTGATATGAGGTGTCATCGCTTGTAAGTTTTGGAAATTTGAGCCGAGACAAGCATCATGATTGTAGTATCATTATTGAAACAATCTTAAACGATTACTCTTTCGCAACACGCACAGGGCCCAAATATGAAGAGCAACGGCTAGAGGGGAGAATTGTCTTGCTTTTACAAACACTCCATCGACTGGCCGGGCTCGTAGCTCCCCATGGATCTAGTATGGCTCTTGAGTCAGAAAACAGGACATGTGGGATAGCTCCAGCGCGAGACTAAAGGGCGAATAATGTGATATAGTGCAACGGTTGGTCCAAATCCTCTTCAAGAGTGACAAATCACAAACCGCAAATCACACAGAAAGAAACTAAACAAATTCACAAAACGGTAACCGCCCCTGGATATGAAATTCTTGCAGACCCGGACCCGGACGCTGTTTTCAAGTTCTGCCTGCGATCTTGGAACTACGAGTACCGTGTTCTCCGTTTACCTCGAGTCTCTACTATATAATTCCCGAGCATAGGGCCATGATCGCATTAGATTAAACATTCAGACCTCCTTGGTCGGCCCCGATCAAAATTAAATGTATGTGGATTTTACAAAGTTGGTCGACGCTAAAAAGGAGGATTCATCGCCCTTGGTTCATGTATTCACTTCGTTCGTTGTGTGTGTTGCTCAAACAGTGTTTTAACTTTGAACTGGTCGTTCGAACAATGTCATTCTGTTTGTGTTCTGATGACTTTTGAATTTAGACTATGATGGTGGAGCTCTCATTGACGCACACGATTCTCCTTGATTCAGGACCTAGTGAAAATAAACTACGTGCTGGTGCTGAAAGCATCTTGGAGAGGCGGAAGCATCTTGGAGAGGCAACGATTGTGACCATTACATGACAGCCCACGCAGACCACTTCTCTATGTGCAAACCGACTATCAAAACTTGCAACAATTACGCAGATCTCCTGAGCAAGATTGAGGCTTGCCATGATCAGTTTCGAATCGCCCAGCACGTTTGGCAAGCAGGGACTAGATTCATAGTCTTCAGAGACCCGACCTTGCTCGTAGATCTGAAGTAACAATTGAAGAACACCCCTGTAGAAATCAAATTTAGTGATAATCTGATCATCGACACTTGTTTCACATCGACTAACCAAGATGCATTGACTACAGGTTAAGCGCTGGACGGTCGAACGGTGACAAAGGCGACACCATCACGACGGTCATCGTATGCCTTCAATCCCCGAGCATAAGGTCGGGGTTGTTTTAGCCTGCCGTCTAATTTGCCATCTCTCTCTTATATAGAGTTATCTGATTGGTCCATGCAGCGTTCGTGGATGAGTAGCAACTACTTCCAAAATAGGGTGTTCTACTAACCAAAAACCAGCTTATAGTATGGTGAAGGCCAATTATCGTTAAGTGAGGCATAACTAGCCCCTCCCTGTTTTAAATCTCGAGACAAGAAAAAGACTCTGAGTACTCGGGAGGCTGGCTGCGCCCCTGAAGAAGAGAGGAAGTGCTTGGATGTAGGGGGGAGTTTGATGTGGGTCAGTAATTGCTTTTCGAGTTTTTGGACAAAAGTTTCTTTTGGATGCGCAGGTCTCAATTAATTTCTCTTCTTGCCGAGGATAGCAACAAGCGCATTTAACATCACGTCCAAACGCCGCGAAACGAACGTAATAGGCTCGGGCGAAGAGGGATCCATGTACACAGCTGCGGATTTTTCAGACGCAAAATTCTGAGATGTATGTATAAAAACCTTATGAGAGGGTGAAGAGTCAATTTGATAAGAAGAGCCTCATAAGTTCTGACCCAATTCTATTTTACGACTGTATCAAGACATCTTACTTTCAAGATGTTCAGATGGAATGACAGCAAGGCTTCAATAATCAGACTAGTGATGAATTCTCCTCAACAATAAGATGTATTTTACCTTAGCTACAAATAGAATAATATAATCCAACTGTGGACCACAGGTCTAACAAGGGTGTTTAAAGACATTCGTGATCTTTTATTTAACAAAGTCGTTCAACAACGGCTCAATGAAAGAAAGTATGCATATGTACGTCAACAGCATCGTCGGCTCAGTCGTAGGCCTTCTCAACATGGAAAGTATCTTCCATTCATAGTCAAGACACACTAGAAGACGCCAATATTCCGACTGGAAAATAACTCAATCATCTATTAATCGCTGTACATCTGTTTCAACTCCAAAGAACGAAACTCTAAACAATGGTCTGAGCTTCTGCAATCCACGGGAATGAATCCTCATCAGCAGTCGAGAACACTCTCCAGCAAAAATACAAGCAGCGACAATTTGTAACTACTCACGATATGGTATGCCCGTTGAAGATCTTTGCGATAGCCTCTTGAATGGAGCAGCTAAACTTCATTTACGCTCGTAGTAATCCTTCACCACAATTTAACTACCGGGCAGATACATTTGAAACGGATAGAAAAAGGTATGATCTGAAAAGAAAAGTCATGCTAAACTACAACACAAAGGATGGTGAACTAAGGAAAGACTAGACTTCTTCGGAATTCGAACAAAGATTACCCATTTGCATTGTTCCCAAGTAAGACGGCCTTACAGATATTTCGAGCTTGCTTTGATGATCCGGATATCTTCCAGCAAAGAAACTTCGCTGTGGTGTCTTTCCAGGAAGAGTACCCGACAATTTTTCTTGATGGGTAAGTACTTCCTAGGGAATGAATTTATCTATTCAGATATCTATAAAATTGAATGATCAGCCGAAATTAGAAGCCGGCCCAACCTGAGGGCTGATGTCGTACTGCTGGCCGAGAGGATCGACTATCACCTACTGAGACTGTGTTACCTGCAGAACTTCCAGTGTATGTACTGACGTTTCCAAACATCCCCGTCGGAGATTGGGATTGCGAACCACCGTTATTAGAAGGACTGTCCTGAGACGGACTAAAGCCCCAGTCACCGCCACCCATGCTAGCGGCCCTCGCATGCTGCTGCACCGTACGTCTGCGGCCTTCAGACAAAGGACTCGGGACCCCTAGCCTGCTGGGAGAATCGCTGAACGCTTGCCAATTTGTTGAATCGGGTGACAAAGGCATTGCATGATTCATTCGTTGACTTTTACTACCACCTGGGGAAAGCCCCTCTTGCAGATCCCAGATGGATCCACTTTGCCTCTCCCTAGGCTGGTAAAATGCACAGAATTCAAACAAAGAAAATCTGTTAGAAAAAAACTAACATAAGACCAAAACACACGTATTGCTTCAAAGTAAATATGTCAGCTTCAAAACACCATAAAAGCGTGGGAACGTGCCAAAAATGCCCCGACAAGCACCATTACAAGACACAGCCAACACAGCAAGCTAAAAAACATTCAACCCTTGAAGGGCTTAAGTCATGTTCAAAGAACTTGTTCTTGATTTTTACTTGCACACTAGAACGAATCTCAATGCAAATTCCTGTTCCGGCTTCTACTTATTATGTATAAATTTCTCTAAAGTACGCACTACTGCACTGCTAGGACTGTCAGTTCGTTCATGATGAATCTCCAGTAAGTAGAATATGGAGGTTGAAAAGGGGGACCTTGAGCTAAGAGTGTACATTATGGTATGGAGGTTTCAAAATACTTATTTTCCTTCACATGCACGACAAACAAGCAAAAGTTTTCATGATATTTGCAGCGTCCAGAAGCAAGTTCTCCTCTGTTAAGGAGTAGTGCCAAGATAACATGATTAATAAGCTCAACATCTAATCGATTTGATGATCTGTCATCTCTACGACGGGTAGTTGAAAGGTACTTCAAGGAGATGAAGCCCTTCCCCAGCTCCTTAGGGACAATAGAAGCAGGTATTTCACTGTAATCACAATCAATAGTTTTAGACACTAGAAGAGTTTCACTTTCATATAATCTGTTCACTGCAGCTTTAGATTCTTGAGAAGCTAAGAAAGTACTAGATGTGAAAACTTCAAGGCAGAAACAAACTTGAAGTCAAAGCATTACGGTCATCACTACGCAAAATGCAACGTGTAAAAAATATATGTCCACATGTTGGGATGCAAGCGTCACCTCTACTGAAACTAGTACCAAGAGAGCGTGTAGTCTTCAACTTTACGCATTCTGGCACGGCATATCCTCGACGAAAAAGTAAGTAATAGTTCTACTGGTTGTCTATCAAAAGCTAGCCTAGTAGCACAAATCTTGACTAGCGTGTATTGGCGGCTGTCCCCTAGGATGGAGGTGATATGGTACTTCTATGATGGAAATATGACTGTAAGCATCTCTTATGAAACTTCCTTCCTTCCGCGGTTTCGTATTTTAAGTCTACATGATTGTCAGCTTTAAGCGAAGTCGAAAGGTGTGTGGAAGACGGTAAAAACAGACATGGTAGTGCTAGTCGCATGAGGTACAGCTCGAACGACCCAACATTAACATATGACAGCAGAGAAAAAGGGAAATGAGTAACCTGATATCAGCTTAGATCGATGGAACGCCTCAGTATTGCAAAGAACAGAGGAAAAACAGTATTATGGTTTCCATTTCGGACTTTCATCGCACTTCAGTCGGTGTATCCAGTAATTTAGGAGAATCTTATGAGGGTTAAATGCCGAAGGCGAAAGCCATGTCAATGTTGGGTCGTTCATGTCGGTATAAAATTTCATAAATGGGCCTTATTAGCGAATCAAAGGATTTGCTCTCAGAATTAACAGAGTAAAGTCGGCGAGAGCAGGATAATTAGTGTGTAAATAAAACTAATAGAATCGACTCACTGACTTGCATTGTTTCCAAAAAAAAATCTGTTCATTTTGTAAGCAATCCGATATAACTGACATGATACTTAATAGACAGAAAAAAATGACATTTACTTAGGTGAGCTAAATATTTACTCAAGATGTATGAAATCGCCTCTGTCCCAACTGAATCGCAATAGCATCTTTTCATCGTTGAAACATCAGAAAACTAGTCAGGGCAAAATCGTGGATCATCGACTCATATCTTCTGAATATGGGGCAATAAGAGAAGGATGAGATGATCCTGATCAACCAAGAGCGAATCCATGGCGCGCAGATCTACTACTTGTCCACATAGACACGGTAAGGTAATCAATAAAGTTAGAAAACAAGGTGCTCTTAATGTCTAGGTGAGGTGAGAACCAGCTAATATATATACATATTACTTCCACAATCAGGCAAGAGCCTCGTGGGAAATGCATAACCGACTTAGACTAACTGATCGAGACAAATAAGGAAATCAATGAGGATTTTCAATTGAATGGGTAATCCTGCAATTAAATATTCATTTGTTAGAAGTTATTATCGGCTTGGGACAGACAATCAGGTTAGGATTGTAATATATTCAAGAAGTGGTAAAACTGAATGACTGATAAGACTACTGCGACAGCAAATTTCACGAGCCTCTGCCTCTAGACTGTGACTTCTGTGCTATTCAAAACTATTACTACACAATAGGCAAAACTGCAAGGGTCAGTATGTTGCACATCCAGGTATATCAAGCAAGCAGTATCCTTTAGGTTGGCTGGTAAGGCCCGGCCATAAGAATTGCATGTGAGATATTATCCTACAGCAGACAACGAAAACAGTGTAAATACCCCAACAAGGGTGGAAAAGTGGAAGGGAGGAGATATGGGCGAACGTTGGATTCATTGAGAACGTAACTTCTGCAATATACAAACCTCTCGGCCATACAAATTTCCTCTGACTCAACTACGAGGAGGAAATATACAGTAAGAAACACTCGAACGAAATTTTCAAGGGAAAAGTAGTCCTATTGAGGCAAGAGCTTTAGTCCAACTTCGACAATGTCAGTGTTTTGAAACAGAGCTCTACTTGTAGGAATTAACGATTGGGCTACTCTTCAGCTGAAATTACTTGGCCAAAACTGATATTGCACCGTAAACTACTATCCTCTGGACCAATGCACGAAGTAACTGCGACTGAGATTACACGCTATATTGACAACCTTCCACATCAATTTGACACAAATGGTTGGGAGTTTGGACACGAGCCACCTCGCAGTGGAGCGTGCTCTTTTCCAATAACCTCACTTATTCCTGAGATCTGACCTGATGTCAGCATGACAAAGCTCAAGAATAGCAATTATTCCAATAGAAAAGTCACATAGTTGCGCACGTAGAGGGAATCACGCCCTCTTTGGTGATCACGTTCTCACGATCTTAATTCATAATACAGCTGTCTATGTCCAGTTCAGAAAGAGATCAACTTTCCTTATATCGAAACAGAAGACTATGCTGTGGGCAAGATGAGGGATATTATCACGAAAGAACAATTCAGATGACTTAAGTGTTCTGGATTGGATGAGACGAGAAGCAACTCTGAATTGCCCCGATAAACACAAAAGGAACAGCATACTTCGTGGGGTCTTTGTCTACATAACATGATTTTTGGGGAGCGGTATCTTGAGCATCCCCCAAGAAAGAACCAGTTTCCGGGCGTTAATAACCCTATAATGACAAAGATGTTATAGTTCATAGATAGGCAGACAGTTACATCAATTGGTCCAACAATTGTATGACCGCTGAGAACTGGTAGAATCCACTGTTACTTTCATCTATAGAAAAGTGCCAAAGTATGTCTCTTGCTTTGAATATGACGCCTTTCTTTTTGTAAGCGAAAATTGGGGATGTGGTGTCAAATTGTCTTCTGAACATCAGAAAACCACTTATAAGATTAGACCGATGATGGCTAGAGATGAGATGATGCCGCCATCAGCTATATTGAGCCTGTTGAATACGTTTCAGCAATGCTGACGAGAGTGAGGTTCTTCCTTGGGTTTGACAAGGTTCCGTATGCAAGATTACATCCTGCTGGGCAAGTTTCGAGATTCTCCCTTCACATGACCTTGTTCTCGTCTTTAGAGAGCCGATATTCGAGACAATGAAAGCCATTGTACCCGTGGGCTGGAAATCTATGTAAGAGACGACCTTTAATACTCTTAGTTCCCAGCTATGTACTCGTAAGTCTCTTATTTGTTGTATTCACACGAGCAGGAAGAGTTGTGGTGACATATGTCGCCTTTAATTCCCAAATTGTCCAGGGTTGCTGATAAAGTCGCTTCGTCATATAAAAATAAAAATAAAAAAACAGTAAACTCGAAACGTTGTATCTTTAATTTGGTGAAAAAAGGAGGAGCACAAACACAAAGATCTCTTATGAATTGATCAATTGACGCAGACACCACATTGGCGGCTTCAGCCCAGAAATCACGTCGACTATACAATGTTGAACTCCACAGCAGCAGGTCCAGCTATTCACATTCCTCAGAAGGCTTGACCTCACTTCATACATTGGAGTGAAACCCTTTTGGAATATCATCATACGGATATATTCCAAGCGATACACCTCGTTCTCAAGGGCCCGTCATCGGAACATTTAACAAGAGATTTTAAAAATCCTAAGTGAATTGTATCATACGACAAGACTACCTGCTATAACAGCCGCTAAAAGGGTCAATCGAATTTCTTGGACCTTAGTGCTCACTCGAGCATGGCATGAATTCAACGATCAAAGACATGTTGATAAAAGTCTCCATGAGCTCAAGAAATATATCTAGGGCTTTTCATACATTGGATTCTATACAGTAGTAAGCGACGCAACGTTCAAATACGTCCCCATCCCGTAGTAGACGACTACTGGAAGCAGCACATGTCGATTGCGCTAGAACAAAGACGGAAATGACACTTATGCATCTGAAAAGAGTAGATGTTGAGAAAATGTTTCCCATCAGTGGTATCCCGTAATCAGTTTCATACCTGATCAAAAGCCTGCCAACCACCAGGAGCCTGCTGTTGCGGTTGACTGTGAACAGAGTGACTGGCGGCTGGAGAAGTTCGCGTCCTAGCAGACATCGGATGACTGGGGGTGCTGGTAGACGCTAGGGCAGATTTCAATTCTTGGATTTCTTGCCGCTGTGAGCGACATATGGCTGTCAGCTTTTCGTACTGTGATGAAACCACTGCTTTCTCAGCCAACGCCTGCTGGAGCTCTTTGTTCAGCCTCTCAAGATCTGCCTGGTATTGTTGATTTCGGTTCCCAGAGTCCTGAGGGTTCTGATTGCCTGTATCCGCATAATTTCTGCTGCCCATATCATGGTGACTACGACCGGCTGCATCGGATTGACTTCGATTGCTTGTGTCGGAATTACGTCGCATGCCTGCATCCGGTGTCAGGTTGGCAGAGCTCTCGAAGTGGGCTGCAAATTCGTTGAAGGCTGCATCGTTTGATGGAGCAGATTTGTCCGGAACCCCAACTGCTTGAGATGATGACAAGTGAGAATACCCTTTCACTACTTCTTCATCAGCCTTTTGATCATCTGACTCAAGCCTCATCTCATATCCATTATGTTCAGGATCATCTCGACCCCAACCCCCTGCACTCTGTACTGAACCTTGGACTTTTTTTATCAGATTAGTTACAGTGCTCTTCTTCAAAAACTGGCCTGTAATAGAAGTCCTTTCTGCAGGAGTTGATTCCTCTCGTCTTGACCTAGATCCCGGACTACTAGATCTAAGTTTCGCGGGGTTATCCGTACCTACAGGTTTCTCCAAGCTGGCATCACTCTCTTGTTTGACCGCTTCTTGAGCGTATTGAGTTGACCAAAATGCACCAGCAGCTATTCCCCCGGAGCCATTTTGTGCCGATCTCCGATCAGAGTCTTTCTGACTTGGAGGTAGAGGAGGTGATCTCGCTGGCGCGGGTGCCTTGCTTTGTGTGTTAGTGCCTGCATGTCAAATCACAAGGTTAGATATTTTGATAATTGCGAATTGCGGTATATGAACGGCAGCATTGACATTGTGAAACAAGAAAATGGTGATGAAATGGATGAAATGTCCGATGTAAGATGCCATCATGTGCAGCTCGAGTTCAAAGAAATGACACTTAATGTATGAGATAACAAGCATTGCAGTATCGATTCAATAGGCGAGGTTATGAGTTGTTGTACGCAGATCAGGACGAATCTCAGCTTGCTCGCGAGAGGCTGGAGCGGACGGTGGCTTGTCGGGATGAGGCTTCTTCACATCAGCGGGAAGTGCTTCATTCACACGGCGCCAAACCTGTCACAGGAAAGAAAGGGTGAGAAGGTAAAAAGGAAAGACGTACTAGCCCAGCCACTCCCATAATTCTAGCATTTCTGCACTAACATTGGCCAAGCAACTTAGTAGAAGTATAGTTGCTGCTATTGAAACTAACCTAGATCAGGCAGATCAAAGAGCCCATCGAGCAAAGCCCTTGCCTGCATGACATCTGGTCTTCCGCCTGGATCTGCTGTAAGCATGCTTCGAATCAAGTCGACGACAGTACTCGAATATCTCGGCGCCTCTGGAATGCGATAATTGCCATTCAATATCTGCAACTTTGACTCACCATCAAAGGCAGACTTCAAGTAGGCTATTCTGTACAAGAGGCAACCAAGAGCCTGCACATCACAGCAAATCCATGAGAAACACAATTTCGGAGATGATTCAGATTGCTGTCTTGCTTGAAAACAGCCAGAAACTTGCAATTGAGAGTAGAAGGAAACAGCAGTTCACCGTTCATAATGTTAGTGCACAAGGTAGATTCACTCCTTACCCTAATACCAGTAATGTAATCCCTTAAGTTACAGGAGTGATTTTCAGAACGTCCCAGGTCTTGGTCGCTTACCCAAATATCAACTTTCTCGTTGATGAGCTCTCTTCGGAATAGATCCCACATCTGTACAGAAACACGATATAAGTAAGAAAAAATATTTTCATGACAACTATGCACTACTTCTGATATACTTCGGCTTTCTGATGTGTATTTACAGAGCCCAGTGGTTGAGTATCATTGGAGACATAATTTAATTACCAGTATGTTCAGGCTGGATCAGATCTTGGCATTTAAAACAATCTCACATCCAAGTTGGGCTTCTTGATGATGATCCTAAGTGCAGGTTCTATCAACTTCTATACATTTACGATGGCTTTAACGCTCCAAGGTCCAAGGCTTCCTCATGAGACTCATTATTACCTCAGGTGCCCGATAAGCGGGTGTAGTGTATTTCCGAATATTATCTTCCTCAAGGCCCATCTCATCTGCCTTCTCGAACCGTTTATGATTCGTAGATGTACTTCCAAAATCGCAGAGCTTCCAAGTACCATCTCCGCCCATCAGAACATTCTCTACCTTCAGATCTCTGTTAAGAAGAGATTCAAAACATGCATTAGGTTCCACACTCGATGATCAAGCGCTGAAGCAAGCTCATCGCTTCCGACTTATACACTAGATCATCACCGACTACGTCATTTGATGGTAACGAGCTACATTGCCTCGCCTGATCATTCACTTTGTTGGACAGTATGTCAGGCCTAAAAGTATTTACCGAGGAAACCGTGGATTGGACTTGACAAGGGAGAACAAGATCGTTATGTCTCTTGCACTTGCAAATCACAATCGCTTTGTGTTCCAGTAGTGCCCACTCTTCTGCGATGATTCCATATCACGCACCTCTGAGGCCAAGCAACGAATCATTACGATAGGGGGACTACATGAATATCGGGGCTGACCTGTGTGCAATTGGAGGGGACTGCGAGTGCATTCCGTAGACGGCATTGCAAATGTCCCGGAAGATCAACAGGAGTTGCTTCTCTTCGAAATAACCAGCCCCTCTCTGCTCCAACACGTTCGCCAGCATCTTCTCGCAGTAATCCATGACGAGGAAACATTCCTTGGTCCTGCCCATATCATAGACAACCTGCGCATGCAATGTGACCACGTTCGGGTGTCCGCGCAGCACCTTCATCACCGCGACTTCGTTCTTCACAAGATCTACACTCTCTGCATCGTTGCAGATAATATGCTTCAGCGCATACTGCCGCCCTGATGATGCATCCCTCGCCAAGTACACACACGAGAACCCTCCCTGTGCAATTGTACTTCTAACCTGCAGCTTCAGTGCTCCGACATCCACTGTCTTGCCCTCCAGCCCGGCCTGCTCTTTGGGGATGAACTGCTTGAGTCGCCACATCCTTCCTGCTCCGCTTCCTCAAGCACTTCGCTCAATCTATCATAGATCTGCTCCTGCTCCTCCCCCTCCGCCTCGATCCAGCCCTCGACCACCAACAAACACCAACTGCTAATCCAGTGGCCCGGCTAATCCAAAAGCTCCTCCCGCACTCCCTCCTATCCGTCACAATTGCCGTCTACGAACAATTAGGGTGGCTTTCCAGCTTTGACTGCAACCCTCGTGGCAAATTGGCATCGACACAAGGCCCGGATCCGCCAACCCGTCCAGCAGAACCAAACTCGCATGCTGTGGCAACAGCTCCACAGTGGCCAGAATCGGACGTCTCCTCCTCGTGTCGATGATCCGCTTTTGCTGCTGCTGCTGCTGCTCCTCCTCTTCGACCTTCCTCTTTTTCTTCATCCACCACCACGCTCTCCTCCTCGCCCAGATCGGCTTGCTCCTCGTCCTCCTGCTGCTGCTGCTCGCCCTCGACGACGACGACTGCAACAACGACGAATCGGCGATCACACCTCCAATTCTCGCTCACCATGTCGCGCATATATAATCGCAACTCGCTCCTCTCGGTCCGCGTCCGCGTGCTCGTGCTGCATCATGGCCGCAACGTGATGCTCGTCGTCATCCGATCCCATTTGTGCCGGCGGGCTTCTTCTCCTCCCTCGGCCTCCGCCCGCCCGCCCTGCTCTGCTCGGATTGCTGATCTCGATCCCTCGCTCGCACATTGACGCACTGACTGACTCGCTGCTGCTGCAGCACCGACGACGCTAGAAGACCATTTCGTGCGCAGGCGGCCACTGCAGCTCCATCTCGCCTTACGAACTTTCAGGCCCCGCTTTTTGTTTTCTACCTTCCTTTAGCACCCTCCACCACGATGCCCGGGCCCTGCCACCGCGGGCGCCCGGCCCGGCCCGCGCCGCGCCGCGGGCGGGAGAGCCCAAGGGAGAGCGTGTGTATGTCCTGTACCGTATTATTACCATTTAGGCTTTATCTTTGCCATCGCTCTCGCCATGCCATGCCATGACATTCCGTCCCGTCCCATCCCATCCATGTCATCGCATGCTCGCGTCACCTTCTCCATGTGTGTGTGTATATGTGTGCCTTTTACGTCTCGAAGCGTTCACACCGGCACAGCCCACCTCCGAGCGGTATAATCTTCCAGTCACCCTGTTTCGAACTGCCTTACCGGTTGACCGTCTACCCGGTCTAAGGATCGTTTGACTGACCGGTTCGCTTGTTGCCCTCCTCCCTCCCTCGCTCCCTCCCTTTTCATCACGCGTCTGTTTGACGACAGACGGGGTCGGGGGTGGGGGGCCGACTAGCGTTCGCTTTTCCCCCCCTCCGCCTTTCTTTTTATTCTTCCGTTATGGGGAGGGCATGAGCCGTTTGGTTGGGAATGATGCTCTCGCCCGCTTTTTCGAGAGCATGCTTCGCTTTGCTCGTCGTGGATCCTTTCTGGTCTGCTTTTCACCGCGTCTCGATTGGTCGGTCACCTTCGGTTCGATGCTTTGATGTGATGCGAAGCGAAGGAGTTCGGCATCTGGTCGCTTTCCACTTGTTGCGGACTCCGCTGTCGAGTTTGCGAATCGGCTTTTGTACGATCGGTGTGCTGTCGATGACGTGAAGAGTGTCGAGAAGCTTTGTGTTCTCCCGCCTAGAACATGGCGATCTGTCTCTGGTGTCGATGGTGTGGCTTTTGTTGGGGTTCTCCATTGCATGCTTGGAAGAAGACATTGGGGAATAGAAACATCGCGATGCCATGATTTGACTCGATGTCGAGTACACTACGACTCCCACATTTCACCTGCTGAGTTACAACGTATGTTTTGTACACTTGCATCATCTGTGAGCACTTCTCTGTGCCGACCTTTTCGAGCTCGGAGGGTGAGGGACATGCTCAACTTCGGCAGCAACAACTTCAGCGTATTTGAACGGAGACGCACTTAGATCTTGAAGTTGATCTCTGATAGTTTATACTCCTCCTCATGTGGAGAAGAGTATTATGGTTTTTGCACCTAAAGGCATTGCAACGCCATCCATCTTACTCTGCAATTTGGAATTGAAGTCTTCAAGCTACGTCACAAAGCCCGATTCAACTTCAGTGTTTCATGAGCACCTCGTTGCAAAACTGCCGCTTGCTGAAAAACTTCAAAAGCGTTAACGACAATGGTACACTAAAGTTTCGCACGCAGAGCAGTTTTCACATCATTCCACGTGAGGATTAGTTTATCACGCTGGTTGACTATGAAAGCAACAGAATTTGAACACTAGGAACTTAGTGTGAAATAAGGATGACGAGGAACATGACGGACATGACGAAACATGAAACACTCATTGACTAAGGACATCTCTGGGCTGGTCGCCTTTCTCCACTTTATGTTTCCCACCATCATGACGACAGAACATTATCCAAATGTCCATTTGTTCAGTGACAGGAGTCTATGTCACAAGTCGTATCTACATTTACGTCCCCATGAAAGAAAGAGTGTTCGAGGGGGAAAGTCCTATCTCCAAGTCCTTTGTGATATTTCAGCTCGAAAATACAGTGCTAGCTGCTGCTCTCGTGGGAAGCTGCTTTCTTTGCTTTATGTTTCCCTCGTCCATTGCCACAGAACAAAATCCAAGTGATCATTTACTTAGTGACAGAGGAGTCCAAGTCACGAATCGTATTTACACTCTCCCCTTGACTTTGTTCTAAGGGGAAAGTCCTCTCTCCAAGTTCATGACAAACCGTATTTACACTCTGGTTATGACAGCACGAGTGTTCTCGCGAGTCCTATCTCCAAGTCCTTGGTGATTTTTCGGCCGGAAAATACAATGCTATCTGTACTAAAAAGATTCGCTCAATGTCTAAAACAACCGCAGCTATACAGTGGTTCAGGCCACATGTGCGTTCCTTTTACACAAACAGGCTCCAACTATTAAACTGTACCCAGTTTAAGATAATCTATCTGAAAGTCGGGAAATTAAATTTGCCTTACGATAGTAACATGATACCGGACCATCCCCACAATCTTCTTGTCAGTTTTACCCGGCTCCTTCACCATATGAGAGTTTCCGAACAACCTTGGTTGGAAATGATCGCCTCCGAGTACGAGTAAGAGGAGGAGATGTCGATGAAAAGGTCGTGGACTTGGAGTTGGAGTTCAAAGACGCAACCAGAGCTTCTGTATCTATGTAATCGAGCCCGGCTGCCGTCCTTTCAAGCGTGTGTGGAGACCCCAGCTCGCACTTCCTCTCAAACTGAGGAGACTCTGTAAGTTTGTTCTTATGTAAATCGTGTTCCACCTTAAAGAAGGATGTGATGTCTGACTGCCTTTTGGCAGATTCAATGCCTTCGACTTTCTTCCTCTTGCTTGCTTTCTTCCGAGCTGCTTGCTTGGCTTCCTGCGTCACATATTCAAGTCTTCTTTAAGTTTTCTGACGCTAGGCCCAGCAATGACAAACTAAGAAGATTCTCTTCATCTTTCGAGCAACATACAACATGCAAAGTGCTGTATCGAGGGGGCTCGAATCGACGAAAAGCTTCAGAGTAATTACTGGAAATACTCCACTAAACAGCTATTCGTTTGCACTTGCTTTCTGAGAGAAATTCAGGCTACTAGCAAATTTTCTAACATGAAATTCCTGGGCCAAACCTCGAGGAGCATACAGTACCTGTGATCTGTCGAATTCCTCTACTAATTCCGGACATGCTGCCTTAATTGACTCCATACTCTCATCTGTTGTGAAACACCATTCTTTTTCTGTTGCCTCTGTCGACAATAAGTCTACGCACTCGTTATCAGTCCGGCATTCTTTAGCAACAGTTTCTTCTATATGTTTCGGTGAGGTAGAATTGAGCTTCAATCCCAGCCACTGCTCGCCGTCCACTCCCTCTCTCATATTCTTCCACTTTAGCACATAGAGAGGTTCTCCATGTTCGATTTTGATCCGGTGTATGCAGAGTGGAGCAAAAGCACCATTCAGTAACTCTTCAGAAGATTTACAATATTTATCTGCTAGATCTGATAAATAGAAATGGGATAGCAATGGTAGAGCTTTCTGCCGAACGTAGAATGAGTCCCATGACAAATGTTTCTGTAAGAACATCTCCAGCTCATCCATTGCTGGGGCATGCCACTTGATGGAGGAGGCATAGCCAGTGACATCTGCAAGACGAGACACGCTATTGTGATAAGGTGGAGATAGTTCCCTCAACAATACAAAATAGCTGTGGACAGCTCTTTCAGATCTATAATTCAACGTGAGTATAAGGCATTATACCTTCAAAGGTAGGAATTTCAGAATTCAGAAAGATTTTAATGATTTCTTCATTGGGAAAGCCTGGAGTAGCTGCCATTTTCGAACACATTTTGCCCCACCAAGCGTTGGCCTTCGTCTGCAACTTGCTTCGAGCTTTCTGCGTAATGTAAACAAGTCCTTCAATATCCAGAGGGTGGCCACACGACTTACAATGGGCTAAAGACTCCAGGACTTGTAATTCTTGCTAAGTGGTGATTGATTCTCAAAGGAAAAGACTCTGTCCAAATCTCAGGCCCCAAGTGCATACCTGCGAGCAGAATGGACATGAGCACAGAAACCCCTTAGGCTTTGGCTTGCAGCCTTTTTCGAAGGAGTACTCGTCTTCTCGAGAGGGAAAACATATCCCACAGCCCGAGTTGAGATGCTCTTTTTTATTGCCCGGGTGGCCACACTTGGAACAGTGGGTAACTCTAATCTGGACCTCGGAATCGTATGCAACGGATGGTTCCCTCCCGGATCCATCATCCTGCGCGCCTTGCTCGATCTCACCCTCCGATGGACCCTCGCCCCTTCCCCAAGCTCGCAGCCTAATACCAGACCCTGTAAGTTTCTCAAGCCAGAACCCAGCCCAATGTTCTATTATGAAACACCATCTTAAATCCTATCACTAAAAAGACTCGTAGAAACAAAACCACCTCAGCTCGTGCAAGTCCCAAAATCCAGTCCACAACATTGAAATCTCACCACACTTCCCGATAAACTTTAGGACGGCGTGAAGTAAGGCACATGGAAAAACTCGATCCATGAAAGTGGGTAAGGAGTCGAGAAGTGTTGACGATGCGTGGGGCGGGTGAACATGTATGATAGTTTGACATACCGGTCTAAAATCTCCGACTCAGGAAAAGACCGAATGAGCTGGAAGGCGTTGGCACAGCCAACACCTGCAACACCTTCTGGCATGTAGTCACAGCCTATCAATAAAGCCAAGGCCACAAGATGATTCCGACGAAGTCCCATGGACGCCTCGATGTCCTCGGCGCGGTACAGCTCGACTTCGGATTCCTGATGATGAACTGATGTTACAGCTAGAACGTGAACTGGGCCAAAGCTCTAATTGCAGCTATTTGGCAGGAGCTCAAGGGAGTAGTTTGACATACATTTTGACTCGATCTACAGCTGGCAGAAGAGTGCAAGTGTGGAGAGGAGAGCACATCTCTTTCCCAAGAGGTACTTCTACTGATAATGAGGGACGTGCCTTGCTCTTGTTGTCGAGTTGGAGAGTCTTTATGACCCACTTGGCCCCGTGTACGAAGACGTCACTATCTGGAGAAACGCAGGCATCCACCAAGCCTTCTCTATTGAGTATGGCGCAAAGGCTTTCCGCCTCTCCTTCGGCTCTTAGAACAGGCATACCCAGCAGCTCCAGAAGAATCTGTTCACAGGTTTCGAAAGACAATCCGTTCATGCTCTCGCCAAACATCGCTAGTCGCCCTCTCCAGTTATCAAGCAGTAAGGAGCACGCAAATTCAGAGCATCGGCGTGGAAGAATCGTACTGGTAAGCAAAGCAAAGGGAGGGTCAAAGAAGCTTCGGGCTTTTGTACAGCTCGTTCGGGGAATCTATCGAAATGACATTAATGATCCCCTCGGCTGCTGAATCCGAGGATGAGAAACCCCGTGACAGAGACCTAAAGACTAAACGTACGAAGAGCCCACCATTTCCTCGACAGGACGTGGAAATTATGAAGTCTGGGTAATGATACAGTGATCTGCGACCTTCAGTTTCCAGGATCTCTCAGCCCGTCCTGGGCGTTCACAATTTTCTACTTCGGATTGCAGCTCGAAGACTGCCTCAAATGTTACACATCCTCCTGAATTTGACCACAACGATGAAAAAATTTGGAAAACGTAACAATTGAGCACGCAGAGAATTGCATACCACGCATTCTTCCACATTCGCACTGAAACTCCCGTTCCTCGTACTGACGCTCTCTGTCGTTGCTGGGGAGTGGGGCGGAGAGGGAGGACAGAGACTGGAGAATCTCTTGAAACGCTTCATCCTAACTCCCTGTTTTAAGGCCGGGGGCTCGCCATCCACCACAAAAACGGGCAGTGCTCCGACCTACAGAACAAGGAAGTTCGAATTTCTGTAAAGTAATGACACATACAACGTGGTGGCGGCTTTGATGAGTGCAACTTCATGCACTGCAAAATCGAGTTCACAAGATATGACCACTGAGATTTGTCAGTGAAATTCACTGCCAGCAACTGTAAAAAAATGACCGATTCGCATGCATCGAGCTGGCTATAATGCTGCCACCGAGCAGGATCCGTCTGAAACCTGGCAGGGTTACATTCCACGAAAAGAATGGAAACTCATAACTGAATTCTCGGACAGGAAAGGAAGCCGTGAATTCCGTCTGGGTTGTGGGATAAACCTTGGCCACGAGCTTCACAACTCGGAAGAATGTGAGACGCAAATGTGGTTTTCGAACACGATGGTCCTTCAACGCCGTTTGCTGCTGCACCAGCCAGTACGAAAGATCGACAGCCAGCCTTTTTCCTCGCAAAAAGCTCAAGTCCTCCGTCCGCGCCAGAGGCCGCAGCTGCTCCCAAAACCCCTTGCCCACCCCCATCTTCTTCTCATAACAATTTCACCGCACCATGATCGATCAATCAATCAATCAATCATAGAAAGACTCACATATCCCCCACCACTCCTGCCAATTCCGTACTTCTTCACCTCCTCCACAACCACGGGCCAACCAACGACCCACAGATTCATCATCATTCACATCACATCCCAACGTTGCCCTCATCCCTCCCGAGCTGCCTTATACGTTACACGCAGATCTGCTTCCGAGCAAGCTTTCAGTCGAAGGCCTCGATAAATCCTCGTATGCCCAATATCCAATCCGCAAGTCTCAAGTTTACAACAACCAGAAAATCTCTTAATTGAAACGTAGCGTGACATGCCAACAGGCCTTGCGCTGTTTGCAGAATCCAGAGTCCCAACCATGAAAAGAGAAGAGATCCGAGCTGAGCTGAACTGAACTGAACTGACAGTACAGGATCGTAGCCAATTCACCAAAGTGTCTAAAAGATTTTTCGGGGGATGGGGTTTATGGGAGATTCGAGATGATTTCCTCGACACCACGTAGATTTCATACGGAGTATGGGAGACTTGCATACCTGTATGGTGTAGGTCGATACATGGGCCTTGGATACTGTGTTGACCAATGCGCAGAATGGCATCCAACGTAAGTCATTTGGGAATGTACATTGCTGCTGCGGCGGCGCAGAATCTCGACGTGCATTCATGGAGGGCTGGCTGGTCGCCCCTGCTGTGTCCAATGAACTGGACGCACATCTCGTGGCCGTATCCAGAATGCCATTGCGGTGCCGTACATGAGTCAACGATGAAAGATTCACGTCAGTTCATGATCTGTTGACTCTGGGACATAGACTTAGACGAAAAGGGTTGACGCCCAGACCTTACCTTACGCACATACATTTATTTATTTATATACAAGATAATTCCCTTAAAGTCCCGATCTAGTGTTTCCACTTTCTTAAACGAATACTTTATCGACCGAAAGTAACGAAATTAGTTAAATGTTACGAGCTCCAATAATCTAACATGTATCCGTTATATTTGGTCTACAAACAACATTTACATATCAAGAAGCGTGATTATGTTAAATGTAACGGATGTAAATCCTAATTGATATCTAAAAGTTAAACCACATGGATACATGTTTTTCTATAAGTTGAAGAAAATGATGATATCTTGGTTACTCTTTTTCTCTCACCAACAAGTCCAAATCTTTGAAGAGTGATATGAATGCAAGTGAAAGAGTTCTCTCACAAATAAATGGATCCTCGAACAAACTATGAATATTCTATTTCAAACAGCACATATGGGGAAATCTTAGTGGAATAATGTTAACTACATCTACACTTGTCTAATTAATGTGGAAAAAAAATATTTTGATTCATTGGCACTACTTCTATCATATAAAGATATAACACATACCTATGGAAGCAGTCAATGAAAAAATTGTCTACAAAATATCCTCTTATACACTTTAATACCTTGACTCTCAAGTTTATAAGTTGAAGTATATAAAAAAAGCTTGTAATTTGATTATTCAAAAATTTATCTCGTAAACTCCACAAAAAAAAATATGATTATCATCTGGTTATGAGTCTAACACATATCTTAAAACAACTCAAGCAATGAACTTTACTTTTCATAATGAAACATGAAAAGTAAATATTTTGAAGCAAAGTGTTCTCTTGACAAGATATTTTTATTCAATTTTTAAAAATTAATTCAATATGAAACGCTAAGAAAGCTGTTTTCAATGTCCATATGCAAGGACATTTGATACCAACAAAAAATTTATAAGTGAAAAATATTCAGAAATCTTAACAAAAAAGAAAAATTGACATCAACATCTCATGTATAATGATGATAACTAAAGAGATAATAATTTTGCATGATCTGAATATAATACATGATGTAGGTGTTTTAATTTACTTGTGAAGTCACTTAAACAAGAAGCAAAAGCATGAAAAAAACATCAAAGATTGTATGTTAGTTTGACATCTTTGTAGAATGTATTAAGGATTGTTTGTACATAATGGAGCAATAAAGATCAATCTAAAGAAAAAGATTTTTAATGATATTTCAATAATATTAATGCGAATCAATCTAATTCACATATGATTTTATAGCGTTATGTAATCAGATCAATCTTAATTTTCGATCACTTGACTCAATAGTGATAAAAATGATTATGAAAAATGCACAAAGATATATGTTTATTCTTGCCATAAAATAAAGTAACCTGATGGATAGTGATACATTATCACGTGATTGCAAAATTTTCTTAATGTAAATCTAAGAATCATTCAACCCAAGTTTGAAGACACGAGACACTCATATAACGTGGTTCATCCTCAAGAGCTACGTCCACGGCTGGAACACTTAGAAGGTTTACTTACAACTTAATACACAATGCACGCTCGAGTAGAAGCCTTGGGGTTAATTTATACCCAAAGTCATCGACACATCTAGCTATAACATGAGATTACTCCTTAATCTTCATTTGCTATCACAATGAAGATTAACCACTCCTTGCTTGGAACCAATATTGATGATAAGACTATCGAACCAAATAGCTTCTTTTGCCGCTTCTGTTGTTGTCACATATTCAACTTCCGTTGTTGACTAAGCTACGCATTTCTGCAGAGTAAACCTCCAACTAATGCTTCCACCGCCAAGTGTAAACACATATCCATTTTAGATCTCTTTTTATCTAGATCTTGTCCGTAATCAGCATCAACGTAATCAAACAAGGATTTGGCATTGTCTAATAGATCATCAAATAGTAAGCCATAATCCAAAGTACTCTTCAAATATCTCATAATCCATTTTATTGCTTCCCAGTGAACTATACCCCTGGATTTGACATGTACCTGCTCACCTTGCCCATCGCAAAAGCAATGTTTGGCCTAGTGCACACGATTAGATACATGAGGCTGTCTACGGCTTGTTCATAGCAAACACATGACATTCTTCCTTTTTCCACATCATCAGTAGGACATTGAGCTTCAATGAGTTTGAAATGTGCTGCCAAAGGAGTCCATACTCCTTTGGAATCGGCTATGTTGAACCTCTCATGTAAAAGACAAACATACTTGCCTTGACTCAGCCATAGCCTATCTTGTTCAAGATCCCTGTGAATCTCCATGCCTAATATTCTCTTTGACTCCCCCATATCCTTCATTTTAATTGCAGACTTCAACTTACTCTTACATTCATCAACATCGAATTGGTTTTTGCCAGGATGAGCATGTCGTCATCGTAAAGTACTAGAATGATGAGATTGAACGTCTCATCATTTATCTTCTTCATGTAGACACAAGGATCATACACGTTCCGTAAAAAATCTTGTGCCTTCATGAACTCATCAAATTGCGTCTTCCACTGCCTATGAGCTTGTTTCAGTCTATACAATGATTTCAACAATCTACAAACCAACCTCTCTTTGCTTTTGACCTCAAAACCAACAGGTTGTCTCATGTAGATCTCTTTTTCTAAATATCCATAGAAAATAATTGTAACCACATCCATCTGATTCATAACAAGATCAAATATCGCAGACAGTGCACATACCAGACAAATTGTAGCATGCTTAGCTACAAGTGAGAAATCTTCATTGTAATCCACACCCTTCTCTTGTGTGAAACCTCGAGCCACCAGCCTAGCTTTGAAGATTCTTGCCTCTTCTGCTGCTGGATTGTCCGTTAGCTTGTACATCCATTTGGAGTCAATCAGTGTTTGATGTGTAGGAGGCTCAACCAACTCTTAAGTCTTATTGTCAATTAAGAATTTCATCTCCCGTTCCATAGTAGCATTTCACTCAAGCTTGTTGACCGAAGCTTGAGTTTGCCTGTATGAAGAAGCTTCAACTTCTTCCAAAATCAATGCCATATCATCCCCATCTTTGACATCAAAGTCACCATCTTTGAGAATGGATGAATTTGCCCATAAACCAAACCTTTCAGGAGTCTTACTAGCACAATGCAATCTCCTAGTAGACTTTTCTGATTGATCTCTATCGTCTGAAACTATTGATATAGGCTCATCAATGATAACTCATTCATATTACTCATGTTCTTGATGCAAAGGTGCTTCTTCTTGTGATAGATTTTTAGTGATATCATGATCAAACTCCCCCACAACGACATCCGTGATTGGAGATTTTCCCTTGTCAATACAAGGAGTCTTAGAATTCTCCCCCTCTTTCAATAAGCCAAGCTCATTGAAAAAAACATCTCTACTGACAATCACCTTACGAGCTAGTGGATTCCATAGCCTATAACCTTTCACTCCGCTAGCATATCCAAGAAAACAACATTTCTTGGACGTAGAGTCTAACTTAGTCATATGCTGCTTTGGTGTAAAAGTATAAGCAGAATACCAAAAACCTTCAAGCGACTGTAATCCGCCATCCGTTTATGCCTGAGGTCAAACGGTGTGGAGAAATTAATTTCACTAGAAGGAGAGAGGTTTACTAAATAAATTGTGGTGTTGACGGTTTCAGCCTAAATCGGATTCGCTTAGCATACTCCGCATCTTCTCCAATACTGTTCAATTGAGTCTTTCAGAAACAGCGTTTTGTTGGGAAGTGTAAACTGTCGTGAAGTGACGAGTAATCATCTCCTTTGTACAATACCTCTGAAACTCCTCTGAAGTAGATTTGCTACCATTATTTGATCGTAAATATTTAACCTTCTTGCCAGTCTAAGTCTCAACTTGTATGCGCCAAGTTTTGAAGGTGGGAAACCCCTCAGACTTGTGGGTAAGAAAATATACCCACACATACCTGGAGTAATCATCTATAAAAGATACATAGTAGAGCTTTCTTGAGAGTGAGCCTAAAGGAGATGGGCCTCACATGTCACTATGTACATTCTCTAGTATCTCTGTGGAATTATGAGTTTTAACACTAAAAGCTCGACTATGATGTTTTTCCATGATGCAGCGTTCACAAGATGCGAAGTCAACTTTACCCAAACCCAAAAACATTTTTTTCTCATCAAGAAGATACAAGTTCCGATCACTCATATTGCTAAGTTTGGAATATCATAAATGAGACATCTCTACGCGAGATCTGGTAAAGTTAACTTCTTCACAAATTGTGATGCCCTCTAATACGAACAGATTATTGTGCTTGTATCCCCTAAGGATAACCTTCTTATCACAAGATTTGACATCTAACAAGCCTTGCCTAGAGCTCCACTGTAAGCCGTGTAAGTTTAACACTCCAAGAAAGATCAAAATCTTTCTCATGTTAGGTATAAACCTAACGTGTGTTAGTGTTCGGTTGACATCATCAAACATGCTGATTTTTACAAATCCCACACCCTCACACCTTCAATCTTACAAGCTTGATCATTCCTCATAAGAACGGAATTGTTTGATCATAAACTCAAGAACTCTCTAATGTAACAAATGTGATAAAAACAAGCACTATCCAACAACTGTCGATGAACTACAATGGACTCACGTGTGGCATCATAGACCATCGACAAACACGTCTTCGTCTTCGGAGTGAAGATGCTCCGCAACATTTGCCACTTGAGGGAGATTTGCATCTCTTACTATCATCCGACAGTCCTTCTTGATGTGATCATTCTTGCCACATCTCCAATACACCAAGTTTTTCAAGTTCCTCTTGTTGAAACCTGAAATTACAATCTTCTTCACTCTAGAGATTTAAACCTCTGTCGTTTGTA